CTGCCATGGGAACGCTCCCCAGCCCCCAGTTTATGTCCTCTGCCGGGGCCGGGGCCGGGCCAGCCTTTCTAGGGCTGCAGCTGCCCTCATGGGCTAGTCCCGTGGTCGGCAAACTCATTCGTCAACAGCCAAATATCAACAGTACAACGATTGAAATTTCTTTTGAGAGCCAAATGTTTTAAACTTAAACTATATAGGTAGGTACATTGTTATTAACTTAATTAGGGTCCTCCTAAGGCTTAGGAAGAGCCACACTCAAGGGGCCAAAGAGCTGCATGTGGCTCGCGAGCCGCAGTTTGCCGACCACGGGTCTAGTTGACTTTCCTCCCCTACGAACTGTAGGGATTCACGTACACGCAAAAAGAAAGAGAAGAGAGAACTATGTCGTCATCAACACGGGGCCCACGGCCGCCTCCCCACCCAGGCTCATTGGAAGCAAATCTCAGATCACATCGTCCAGGGCAGGCGGTCCTGTCTGTGCAGCCGGCACCAAACACAGTGAAGGTCAGGGTCTCTCAGGCAGAAGGGCTCTTGTCATTGGCTTAGCCTCCCTGGTGGACTGGGCGGTGGCCGCGGCCTGGGCTTGGGCCTTCCTGCTCGCGGCAGCTGCAGGACCAGCGTTCCTCGTGTGCGGGGAGACCCCCAGGACCCTGGGTCTCCTGAGGTCACCCCAGTGGCAGATCACGGGCCGCTGCCGGGAGCCCCTCGTGCTGAAGCCTCCCTGGTCCTCGGATCTACACGGACTGGCGGGGTGGGGGGCACTCTTCTCACCTTACAGACGGGAACGGCTTGGCACGCCGCCCCGGGGGCTTGTTTCCCTGTGGGCCCTGCCTCTGCCATTTGCTGTAGACAGGACCCTGGGGCCCTGGGTCAGGGCCTTCCCGGGAACCCCCAGCACCTGCCCCTCGCGCCCCCCTGCTGTGCTTCGTCCTGGGCCATGCGCTGCACCTCCCCGCGGGTGCATAGCCTGCCCAGTTAGATCTGCTCTGGGAGGCGGGTCCCGGTGCCTGCACACACAGGGGTGGCGCGTGCGTGCCTGCGGGGACACGGGGAGGGAGGCAGTGAGTGCTTGGTTTTATGAAGCGAGCATTCCCTCCACCCAGTGGCCCCTCTGCTGGGGTGGGTGGGGCACCGCCCCCGAACCTTCCCTCTGCCGACTGTAACTGAGGAGCGCTCTCTGGCCTCCGAGGCGGCCGTGGTTCAGAACAGCTTTACTAGAGACTCACGCACCGTGCAGTCTGCCATTTGCATTGAGGTGTGTTTTTTTGTTTGTTTTTTATTGATTTCAGAGAGGAAGGGAGAGGGAGAGAGAAATATCAATGATGAGAGAGAATCATGGATCGGCTTCCTCCTACACACCCCCTACTGGGGATTGAGCCCACAACCCAGGCATGTGCCCTTGACAGGAATCGAACCTAAGACCCTTCAGTTCACAGGGCGACGCTCTGTCCACTGAGCCACACCAGCCAGGGCTGCATTGAGTTTTAACTACTGGTGTCAAACAGGGACAGCTAGGAGGACTTTGGTCTTCATGGCAACCTGTGGGGTGGACACTGGCCCGTTTTACAGAAGAGGAAAGTAGGGGAGGCTGGTGGTCCGCCCGTGCTGGCCCTGGGGGGGGGACTTGGCTGGGGCAGAATGAAGAGGCCACCCCAGGAAGGTCTGTGGTGTGTGGGGTCCCAGGTGGTCCTGGCCTTGCCCTGCTGGCCTGTGTGAGAAGTGACCCAGTTCTGGAGGCTGGCAGAGCCTGCCACTGCCCGTCCAGGCATCTCCCAGGGCGGGCGAGGCCAGCTTTGAGGGCCCACTTGGCCGGCTGATGGTGGAGCGTGTGGGGAACACTTTCCAAGAAGGGTTCCTTAGGAGAGGGGTCCCTGGCCAGGTCAGTTTGGGAAAGCGGATTAAACAAAGTTAAGCAGGTTTATCTTCAGGGTTTTCAGAACCTTGACCCAGAGGCCGTGTTCACTGTGAGGGGCCATCAGCATGCAGGTGCCCAAGCCCATTTGGCCACAGACCCTCAGGACGCTCCATGTCCGTCCAGAGTCGGGGGCACACGTGCATGAGTGACACATGTCCTCAGGGAAAGAACCAAAGGGGATGGCGTGGACAGACGGACGATGGCAGGTGGACAGAGTGGTGGCTGCAGAGAGTGATGTGGCCCCTGGGTTCTCCTGGCCCAGCAGCCCTTCCTCAGCCAGTGCCAGCTGCCTGCCCCGAGGAGCCCGCCTCCGATGGGTGACTCCTGCCCGCCGTCCAGGGCACCCCTGGTGACGGCTCCTAAGCTCATGACATCGGCTCCGCAGGGCCATTCGCCCCTCCCAGCTCCCTCGAGCCACAAGAGCATCTGGCTGGTGACCCGGGGACTTGGGGGTCAAGTTCCTTGCTGGAATGCCACACCTCCCAGTTGCCAAGAACGCCCGTGGGCTGGGGAAACGGAGCCCCTCACGTCTGGCTGCAGGGCTTGGCAGGAGTACGGCGCCGTGCCCTGTCCCTCTGCCTTGCCCAGCAGCCGGGCACACGCTCTTGCTTTGGAAAAGTGCTCTTCTTCCCAAGCCTCTGCGCTCTTTCCGGCCCCGGGGGTGGGACTCACCAGCAGGACCCAGCCTGCGCCAGAACCCACGCACCGCACTGGGGCTGGGCCCGCAGGAGCAACCCTAGCATGTGCTCCAGCTCCCCACCCCTGCCAGCCCCTGGACCCACGTGCACGGCCCACCGTAGGGTCCTCTGCGCGGCAGGCAGGAAGCTTTTGCTGCAGCCCCTTCTCCCCCCCCCCCCCCCCCCAACAAGGGCCAACCACGCCGCTCTGTGAGCCGTGCCTCTGGCTGTGTGGGGGGATGGGAGCCACGTTTCCGAAGCCACACACGCAGGTGCCACAGGGCAGGGGGAGAACCCTTCCTTCCTAGCCTAGTGGCCTTGACCTTTCATTCTTGGCCACGTCAGCTGTTCCCCATGTGGGACAGGGTTGGATGAGGGGGGCAGGGCCCTCGACCCTAAGTGGTCCACAGACCGGCGCATCGCATTACCTGGATGCTCCTTAGAATTGAGTCTGAGCCCAACCACATGGCTCAGTGGTTGAGCGTCAACCTATGAACCAGGAGGTCACAGTTCGATTCCTGGTCAGGGCACCTGCCCAGGCTGTGGGCTAGATCCCCAGTGTGGGATGTGCAGGAGGCAGCCAGTCAATGATTCTTTCTCATCATTGATGTTTCTATCTCTCCCTCTCCCTCCCTCTCTAAAATCAATAAATTTTAAAAAATAATTGTGTCTGAGCCTCAGACCCTGGGCCAGGATCTGCATTGACAGGGCCCGCGGCTGGAGGAGCCCTGCTCTGGCCTGGAGCCTCCGGCCATGTCCTGCTGGGGTGGCTCCGAGTCCTCCGGCCCCGGAAGCCCAGGGGTCTTGCCCCCTTAGCACTGCTGCTCGAGCTAAGAAAGTTTGTTTCCCTGGGTGGTTTCACATCAGACTGCAGAGCCTCCAATTTCATTTTTAAAAAGCCAGCCCGGCTGGCGTGACTCAGTGGCTGAGCGTCGACCTATGAACCAGGAGGTCACAGTTCAATTCCCAGTCAGGGCACATGATGATTCTCTCTCATCATTGATGTTTCTCTCTCTCTCTCTCTCTCTCTCTCTCTCTCTCTCTCTCTCCCTTCTCCCCGAAATCAATAAAAACATATATATATTTATATTTAAAAGTTA